TTCGAGGTGTGAGTTTAGACCTCTGGGCCCAGCCAGGTTTTTTTTCTGGGCATCGAAACTCCTCTCACCTTCCACCTGGCCACCAGCGCGCGTGCACTCCCTGGCTGCTGAGCAGACACTGCGTTGCCACGGCGAGGCCTGGTGACGGTGGCCCAGCGGTGCTCACCTTTATCAGGATCCTTAACAGGGAAGCACGGAGCCGCCCTCTTGCAGAACTGGAACTGAGTTTCACCTAATGACTCAGTTACTTGTTGTTTCTGGTCTGCAACTCAGGAACTGACTGTGTGCCCGGCCGGGCCCTGGTATACACAGGGCAGTCGGCACCCTTTTCTCTCCACTTTGTCCCCCAAAGCAATGTCTGAGTGGTGAAGCTGACTGAAGTGGGGAGGTCAAAGACATGGAAACTCCCTGAAAACGTAAACCCACTGGGTTCCCCCAGCGCAGGGGCAGCAGAGGGGCTGTGCCAGGTTTGGGTGTGATTTGCACGGAAACTGTGCTGCTCCGTGTCAGACCCTGAACCCACCAACGCCGGGAGGCCCGAGAGCGCTGCCGGAGAGGACCGGTGACCAGCTCGGGGCGGATTTGTCAATGCCGTTGCTGGAGGACGAGCCAGCCCCTCCAGCAGGTCTACCCCAGGTAATTCCCAGTGGAGACGCTGGAAGACTCCCGGGAAGGTGAGGCCTGGGGGCCCGGCGCTGAGCCCTCTCCAAGCAGCCCCCCTGGGAGTCGTGTAGTCCCCGATGTCAGTGCCAGGCCAGGGGGCGGAGCAGCGGTGGGATCCACCCTTCCCGCGGCGCAGTGTGGGGCCCCACATGCCACGTTCACTCCCTGGCCAGTTACCAACGCCGTGTGTGTCCGGGCACTGTGCCAGGGGCTGAGTATACAGCCGTGGGCAAGATGGACGTGATCCCCACCTTCGGGAAATTAACAGTGTAGCGGAAAGGCAGGCAGTGATAAAGCGGCAAACCGACTATTACGAGCCACCACAGCTATGCACCAAGAAGGGCGCGGAGGGCGGTGGAGGCCAGTGGAGATGGCAAGGTGCCAGGCACGGGCAGGGGGCAAGGAGGGACATCTGAGGCAGAGGTGGTGACCTGGCTACAGCCAGGAAGCAGGCAGGAGCTCGACTGTCCCAGGCCCACAGCAGCGCTTGGGGGACCCTGTGGACCAAGCTGAGCTCCGACCGGGCACCTTGGGCAGGGCTGGCAGGACCCAACCTGCACTCAGATCCCAGGCTGAGAGGAGCAGGAGCTCATCGGAGCCTCTGGGAGAGGGGAGGGAGGCTTGGGGAGCAGCTGCTGCCAGGCTGTCTGCGAGGTTGGACCCCGCTGCCAGAAGGGAAGCCATTGCCCGGAAGCCAGGTGAGCACAGGCCCCCATGCACGCGGGGCACTGACCGCAGCCTGCACAGATCCCCGGGCCCTCCTTGTGATCAGCAGAGCCCAGAAACCCCAGGGTACAAGAGCGTTGGCCACAGGAGGGGCTGCAGGCTCCTACAGCTTGGACACCACAGGGCTCACCAGCCTGGGGTGCAGGGGCCCCACACGGCACCCGGTTTCCTCCTTAAGGAAACCCCGGGAAACGTGAATCGGGCACAGGGCTGCCCCCACCCGCAGGGTCGGGATCCTCCAGGCCTGTAGCCCTGATGTGTGCCTGGGCACCCGCGCCCGAGGGAAGGCCCAACTTCGAAACCAGGCCAGTGGGAGGCGAGCAGCAATAGCTGACAGTAAGAGAACGCCGTGACACTGCTCAGTAGTAAAAGTTACTTAAAACCCAGGAACTGTTTATTTCTGGAATTTCCCGTATCTTTAGGCCGAGGTTAATTATAAGAAACTGAAACCTCAGAAAGTGAAATCCACGCTCCCACACCTGTGTTGAGATACAGAAACCAAATGATTTCCTGCCCGTCTGGGTGCCTCACCCCCTTCCAGGACGTGCACTGTGGACCGAGGTCTCCCCGGGGATAATGAGGCCCACAGAGAGTCTCGGCTGTACACCTCTCCTGCTGTGCCTGTGCGGAGCGCTGCGGGGAGCCCAGCTGGGACAGTAAAAGGCGAGGGCGCTGCAGACCTTGCTGCCCAATCCCCGTGCCGCCAGCCCTCCCCGTGTCCTTCTGCGTCCAGGCCTGGAAGCAGCCGTGCCCCTTCCATGGTGACCAGCCATCCTGTGCCCCGTCTGCTCCTGGGACTCGGACACGCATTCCTGGACAGGTCTTCTTGTCCACCCTGCTGGGCAGCCGAAGCCAGACCCCAGCGTGGGCTCCACGGCCCTCACCCTCGGTGGAAACTTCGTGTCATGCTGTCACTGTCACATGGGGCAGCCCTGTGCTCCGTGGGACCCCAGAGTCACAGCCTTGCAGCGAGGGCCCCGAGGGTCTCCAAGGACCCTGCCTCCTCTGCTCCCACAGAGCAGCAAGGCACCCACGGCAGGGGAGGCAGCTTGGGGGCTGCATGCTGAAAGTGGGGCCACACACCTCCCACCTGGGAGTCGCTGGCTCCCAGCCTGGGGTTAGAATGATGCTGGCCTGAGACCGAGCACTTGGGAATGTTTCTAGCAACGTGACAAAGTGATTACAGGCCTGTGAACGCTAATAAAAAGCCAGGCTGGGATTTCTTTAAAATTTATATTTGCATTTAGCTTTTTAAAACATTTTTTTATTAGTACGTGATAATGACCACATTCGCTGTGAGGAGGTGGTGCATCTTAATTCCTTATTGCATTTCATTTTTCTTCAAGCTGGCCTGGTCACCCACACCTGTGATCCGGGCCACTCGGGAGGCTGAAGCAGGAAGATTGCACGTTCCAGACATCCCAGGCAATTTAGCAAAATAAAAACAATAATGGCGGTGGGTGTGGGTCACTGGTACAGCACTTGTGTGGTTTGAGTGAGCCCCCAGCCACAAAGAGGAAAAGTTAAAAACCTGAGCCAATAATTCAACCTGTGCGCATGTGGAGGGTGGAGTCAGTATGATTATATCTCCACACCCTCAAACATGTATCATTCTGTGCACTAGGATGCCCTGGACCCTCCTGGTTATTCTCAAAAATACCATAAGCCACGTAAGACACGGCTACCCCAGGGTGCCGCGAAAGCCTGGGGGAATCACCTTCGCCACACTGTCCTTCCTCTCTTAGCCTCTCTGCCACCCTGAGGCTGCACTGGCTTTGGTTTCTCTCCCCGGGACCGCATTTAATTTTCCCATAGATTTATCCCAGCTGGGTTTCATGGACCCGCCCAGCTGCGATCCCAGCTGCTCTTTCCTGCAGATAGCTGGAAAGCACAGTGCAGAGGCTGCAGTGCTGTCCCCACCACCCGAGCCCTGGGCCTTTGACCTCGGACTAACGGGAGGGAAGGCGGCCTGCGCCTATTTGCTTGAGCTGCTGGTGGTCAGAGCCCAAAGGTCCCTCTCGGCCGGGCAGACAGCCCCAAGGTCACGGTGGCTTCGTGGCTCACGTGCCTGTATGGCCACAGGGTCCCACACCGGGTGAAGTTGGGGGTCCACGCCCCGGAGGGTGAGGTGGAGCCTCCATGTGCACGGAGAACAGGGGCTGGTCCCTCGCTGGGAGCACAGTATTTAGTCCTGAGAGGGTTAGCTGTGCTCCCCAGCCAAGGTCGGCTGGGGCCTGGGGACAGAGGAGCTTCATCCAGCTCCATCTCCAGGCTCTGGGGGACCAGCGGGGTGACCTGGGGCCCTCACCCAGGGTGGCACACACTGGATGCAGGCGCTGGAGAATGAGGCCCTCAGCTGTCCCCAGCCAGCACGGGAGGCAGGGACACCATGTTGGGTGCCCTGCCTGCCCTCTGTGAGCCCCAGAACTGAACTGCTGAGCCTCACTAACAAATCTCCCCAGGGGCCTCATGTGGTTGGCAGGGGGCTCTGGGAAGTGCAGCTGGGGAGCTAGATGAGCACAGCTCAGGCCACCACAATGCCCTGAGGCTGATGGACGAGGAGGGCGGGACTGGTCCCCTGCGGGATGATGAACCCTGCCCTGCAGTGGGAGTCTCCAGCAGCAGCTTCCCTTCCCTGGAGCTCTCCCAACAGCGAGGTGCCAGCGCGGTGCAGGGCCAGGGTCCAGGCACCCAAAAGACGGCCCTTCCCACAAGGCGCTGGTCCTCAGTGGGCTGAGGGCAGCCCAGTCTTTGTCGGTTGCTTTGGACTCAGGAGCAGCTTTGGCCCAGGCCTCAGCAGGAGCCATCCGGAGGGTTCGCCCCATACCTCGGACTGGGGTTCAGGCACCTGGATGGGAGGAAGGGCCTGGAGGAGCAAGAACAGTCAGGAAGCTATGTAGGGAGCAGAGGGCAGCGGAGCAGAGCGCCCCGGGGGAGAGGAGGAGCACTTCAGAGGGAGAGCAGGGGTGCTGACGGCAGGGCGCTCCGTGTGCAGCTGCCTGGTGAACACAGGAGCAGGACGCCGGACGCCTGCAGCAACCTGCAGAGCTGCACCTTCACAACTCCCTGCCACTCCCGCTAGGACTCAGGCCTTTCCAGAGAGTGGGAACCGTGTGCCTGGTACCCGCTCTTCGGAACGGACCATCCGACTCTAGAAACAGAAAGCTACTCACACATGTGACTCAGCACATGCCCATCTCTGCCCGGGTTCCAGGACTTCTGCACCCTGCCTGGATCATGAGGCAGATGCTGAGGGCAGCATCAATGTCTCATCTGCCCTGCAATACTGCAGGCCCCGGGGAAGAGCCTGGAATCGAAGCCAGAAGACAGGCAGCACCAGTCCTGGCCCGGCCACTACCCACTTCGGGACTCCGGTGTCCAGTGCTCTGGAATCAGAGTGGATCAGATGCCGAGTCCCGCCGCCCCGGCACAGGGATCCAAGAACAGGTCGTTCTGCAGCTGGACACAGGTGTGTGGTCTAACAGCACCAGTAAGGATGCTAAAAGTGCTCTTCTGGCCGGGTGAGGCGGCACACGCCTGTGGGCCCAGCACTCAGGATGCTCAGGTGGGAGGATTGCCATGAATCCTAGGCCAGCATGGGCTAAATAGTGAGTTGAGGTTCAGCCTGAACCACACAGCGAGACCCTACCTCAAAAAACCCAAAAAAGAAAAGAAGTGCTTTTCCATGCACAGCAGGGAAGGTGGCCAGGCAGTTCTGGAGGTCCATGGGCCGGCTCAGCATCTCCCAGATGTGGATGGGAAAAGGCCCCTGAGTGCAGAAGTGGTCGCTGTGGAAGTCGAACTCTGGAGTTACTCAGCTCCGTGGGCTCCGTCCGGTGTCCCCAGCCGTGACCCGAGACAGTGCGGTGTCAACCCTGCCTGGTCTGAGCGCTGGCAGCCTCCGCAGCAGCAGGCGCAGGCGCAGGCGCGGCTGAGGGGCAGGCCCGAGGGTCGACCGCTCTCCGCCTGCTCGCCTGGGCTGTGCCTGCTGACCTCTATGCCAGCGCCTGGCCCTGGCCTTCCGCCCTGCGCTTCGGACGGCGCAGTCCTCACAGCCCTGAATCCACTGTGCAAGCCACACTGCTGTGCGTAGTCTCCAGCCTGGATGCTGTGGATCCACCGTCTGACCTCCTCGATACTAGTGAAGCATCCCTTTCTCGGGCCTTGACCTGCGTCCGTGTACAAGGCGGGGACAACAGGCCAGACAGGCCGCTGGGCTGTGTGCTGCTGAGAAGCCAGCATCCGGGCACCTGGGGCGGCAGTGAAGGCTGCAGGCCCTGGCTGGTGGCCTCTGAGAGGCAGGTGGAGATGCCCTGAGGCTGACGGACGGACCTGTGGCATGCAACCCACGACCCCTCGCGAGGAAACTTGTTCCCCCGGGTCTTTGCCGGCAATGGTGAAGCGGTAAACCTGCTTCTGCCTCGCTGTGATGGCTGCAGTCACTGCAGGGATGACCAGAGCAGCGTCTGGAGGCCCCGGACACCGTGCAAGTGGCTTTGTCCACGACCCCAGAGTTATGTGCACCCCTAAACCGTGAGCCAGTGGAGAGGTTTCTGATGCACCAGGCCAACAGCGCTGTTGGGAGGTGCTAGCACTTTAAGGGGCGGGGCCCGGGGGGGCTCGTGTCAAGGGGGCGTAGCCCTGGCCCCGCCCCTTCCCCTTCTTGTCTCTGGGCTGTGCATTACCACCTGGTTACCACCTGTAGTGCCGGTGGTGCTGCTGCTGCAGCTGCTGGCCGAGGCCTGGGACCTCTGAAACAGTCATATCCAGGCTTTCCTCCTTATAAGCCGATTTTCTGTGCTATTTTGCAGTCGTGGAGAGCTGAGTTAGAGTTGGCAGAGGCGGGCCGTTCATGAAATTCCAGGGGACTGACCCTGAGAGGCTTGGAATGTTTCCTTAGAGGCTGAGCAATATGGCCAACTTCTCCCCACTGACAGGTTGAGAGGTCAGTCAGCTGCTGCCTCGCAGTCTCCATCCTGTCCATGGCTGTGATTCCTCCTCACTGCCCCTCCGATGAGTCCGTTTCCCAGCTGCCATCAGAGCCAGGCCTGTCAACCCAGCCCCGGGGAGGCTGAGGCAGGAGGGTTGTAAGCTGGAGCCCAGCACCGGCAATTTAGAGTTTTAGTGAGGCTGTCTGTCAAAGAATAAAAATGAATGAGTGAATGGGATGTAGCTCAGTGTGAAGGCCTTGGATTCAATCCCCAGTACTGCAAAAAAGGAGAGAGGAAGAAAGGGAGGGAAGGAGGCAGGCAGGTGACCCGTGTGACTCATGGGAAGGCACTGCCCCATCGGGCCCAGCCCCCTCCCCGGCTGGTCTCTCACCCACTTGGCTCACTGCGAGGGTCTGGGCTCCCTGCCACCCAGCGGGTCTCTTCTGTCCTTCATAAAGATCAATGATCACAGCAAGGTCCTGGCTGGGTCCCCAGGAAGCTGCAGGCCTTGGCACTGCTGGGGGGCAGAGGGCGGATTCCGGCTGGCTGGAAGAAGCCCTGGGAGCAGCAAGGCAAGGAGGCAGGAGGGCTGAGGAGGTGGGCACCGGCCTCTCCTCCCTGCCGCAGCCCCAGGGCCCCACACCCGCTGCGGGCAGTGGAGTCCTTAAGATGCTCTAGGCCCTCAGAGTCCGTGCAGAAGACAGGAACGCATCCCAGGCAGTTGGAGGTCAGGCTGTGGCTGGCCCAGCTCCAGCTCTTGCTCCGTGACCCGCCTGCCTGCGGGACCCCTCTTAATCAGTATTACCTAAGCAGCTGTACTTGGCATCTTATTAGCTGACTGCAGTTTTGTTCCACGCTAAGGGAAGGGGAACCCGCCACCCCTCGTGGTTTTGCTCTTAAAATTCCCTCGAAAAGCGGGGCCCCGCTGACTCTCCCAGACAGAAGCTGTCTCTCAATAACTTCCTACTGTTACCCTGTTGTTCCTGGAATTTATTCTTCCATTTCAGAGACCGAGGACTTGCTGTGTCCAACGCCTAACCAGCAGGCGGAGAGTAAATCTCCCGTATACTGTGTGGAGGCCCACAGACAGACCACCTTTATCCTCACCCGGTCCCCTGAGCTCTTCCCATCAGGCAAACGCTCCGGGCGGCCTCTCCAGGAAGCCTTCCTCCTCCCTCCACCTTGGGCCCTGCGGGGCCCTTCCACGAAGCTCCCAGGGCCTGTGGGATGGGGAGAGAGGAGGGGAAGTACACAGGATCTCCACTCAGTACCCTGGGGTGAATGTGTTCACTACACATCGCAAACGTACACTGGTCGAAGACTGCGGGAAAGGAAATGACGTAGGGTCACAGCAACCTTCGGATCCCAGCCTCAGCTTCCACCCCATGAGCCGGAGCAGCATGTGAGACCCTCCTCTGCGGGGAGCCCTAGGTGTGCCCTCTGCGGTGGTCTGGGGGAGCAGACAGCACAAAGAGGACCTGGGGTCGCAGGGGGCAGATCCAGGTCTGGAGTCTGACTCGTGCCCTGCCCAGCCTCCCTCGACACCGTGCCAGGCCCACAGAACCCTCCGCCCCAGCCCTTTGGTGCTAGGTGTCTGACACAGCAAGTCCTCAGTCTCTAAAATGCAAGAATGAATTCCAGGAACAACAGGGTAAGAGTAGAAGAAGTTGAAAGATAGCATCTGTCTGAAAGAGACAGAAAGGGCCCTGCTTTTCAAGGAAGTTTTTAAAGAGCAGGTTCTGGGGCAGTGAAACAAGCCAGGGCCTTTTCTCCCAGCTACACCCCTAACTTTTGGAAAAACATTTTTTATTTTTCCGACAGGATCTCACGGAGTCACTAAGTCGCCCAGCCTGGGCTTGAAATTAGAATCCTCCTGCCTCGGCCTCCCACCGTGCCAGGACTGCAGACCTAGGCCACCAAGGGTGAATTTCTTGGGCTGTTCCCATCACCTCGCCTGATCAAGAGCGTGAGGTCTCATCTCGCTTCCCAACTTCCCTACTTCCCAGGCCGGGCGCTTCCCGAGTCTGCAGGGGGCCGGTCCCGCTCCCCCAGGAACTCCTTCCACTGCCCGGCCCGTCGCAGCGATCAGCACCTCAGGCCCGGCGGGGCGAGGGTCCTACGCGGTCGGGTTAGAGTTCAAGGCCCAGGGCCCGGACAATGCGCCCGCGCGGACAATACGCTGCCGGGGC